ATATCGAGTTCTTAGGTTTTCGCGATTGTTATACATAGGAATGAAACTATTTTTCCGGATTTAAATCGCGTATATTTGTTTTTTCAAATCAGTCAACCGTGACCATGGGACCTGTAAAGGGCCCGAAACGTCGGTTTGTTTGAAAAAACAAATATACGCGATTTAAATCCGGAAAAATAGTTTCATTCCAATTAAAAGTTAATTCTACAAATTCCGAAAAATCACCTAAAAGTAACCTTTTCATTAGTGTAACCTAAAAGTAACCAATGCAGTTCAAAAATCACCTAAAAGGTTACAAAAGTCACCTTCTGGCAACGCTGACTCGCAGCAACCGAAAATTTTCTTGTGAATAAATCACAGATAATTCGAAATTGACAGTCAACGACAATTTTTGTATTACTTTTTACGGCTCTGGGTTCATGCCATTTTGAGAATTAACGACAATCTGTTTCAGTAATGCCATACAAAAAAAATCTAGTAAAGCGCCATATAGTATTTCGTTTACAAACAATATAATTCTCCTTCAATATTGCATGAAGTGGTTTGTAGATGGCAGTTTTTTTTTTTATTGGCGTTCCGTCTCGTTAGTTCTAAGTTACCATAGCATGGGTCCCAGGTTCAATTCCCGGGTCGGGAGAAATATTTGTATGGCCTACATTTATTTCTCTCGTGAGTTTGGATGTAATTTATGGTTGTCTACGTGTGTGTCCATGGCACCCGCGATACAGGGTTTCCCCAGTGCGGGGCTATGTTGAGTGTGTACGTTATTATTATTATTATTATTAAAAAGTGATTTTTGGGAATTTTGAACAATTGGCATTGGCAACGCTGATTGTATCGAATGATGTGACTTAATATCCAAGGTTTACGACCTCCACCAGATCTTTTAATATTCTTTTCTTTATCCATTTTGCATGAACTCTTACAACGTCCAATAGAATAAAAACCCTAATTGTAGTATTTTTTTAAATAAAATCTACTGACGACGCGCTATAACGTGTTTGTCAATAAGTACAAACACTACAGAATGACTATAAATTAAATATATCTACAATAAGCTTAAGAACACTAGTTTTTAGAGTATTATAGACTTTACTGGATGTGTATAGAACAATTTTACTAAAAATAATCAGTTGTTCTACAGATGAACTTAAAATAAGGACCATAAGAGTAAATCTTAAGAGAGATTACACTTAATTAAGTTGTTTGGTATTAAGAAGGTGTTAAAATTTTGACTTGAGTGAAATAAGTCTATAAGAACAATTTCTTTTTTCTAAAACCATTTATAGAGAACTATTATCTAAATCTATACCATATTAAGACTGTTTATAGATATAACAGTTTTAAGGCTTATAAAGTGTGCTCCTTGCGAAGAGCCTGACGAACACTCATTCTATTCAATAATTTGATAAAAATCAGTTTCGTTGGCATACATCACTTGAATTTGATAAGCGGTCTACGTTCATAGCGAAACGCGCGAGATTGATGTGGATAAACGGGTTAAATAGTAGTTTTAGAAGTGAAAAGTGATTGGAACTATTAATTACATAAAGCGGTACGTTTCTACAGAAACATAATTTCAATAAAATAAATAAAAACAAAGTTTTGATGTTATATTCTAACTTTAAAAGTATTTCAAATATGACGACATAACATGACTCAAGTTTTCATATCTATCATTAAATAGGTCTGATATATCATACCAGCCACTACAAATTATAGGTTTTAATGGTTACGACTGAAGAATAGACTCTCCTTCGTCGCTATTATTTTTTGTTTAAAATGGGTACTTTTCCTAGTTCGCAACCACGGTATCGTGAGAGTACAAAAAAGTCTTCGTTCGCAACTGGTATCGTACAAAACACAATTATGTTATTTTCGCAACTGCTTACGAACCTCCGGTTTCGTACGCGGCCGAAGGGCGATATTGGTGGGACGACAAGCAAACAGAAAATTACTCGTCGCGCCACCAGTGGGTCACTACGATGGTACTAGTGTTGCCCAAAGCAAGACCAAGACAAGACTAACCCCAGTCTTGGTCTTGGTCTTGGTATTGCACACTCAGTCTTGATCTTGGTCTCGGTCTTGCTGCAAGAGTCTCGCAAGTCTTGCTATTACCTATTGTTACTTATAACTCGTAAAAATGAAAATATACGGGTGCAGGTATCGTAATCCGCAGGTTTATCTACTATGAGGGTCTGGGGTAAAAATACAGCATAAAAACGAATCTTTTGCTTTATTAATTATTTATTTGAATGAAAATTATATTATTTCGTTCGACCAACTATTTATACAAAGTAACCATCTGGCTGACTCGTCACTTAACCTATTTCTATGTTTTCTAATAACTAAAGAGGCTTTAGAGAATAATCTCTCAGCAGGCACTGAAGTTGCCGGTATTGAAAGAAAACCCCGGGCCATCTTGGATATAATCGGATACTCCAATTCATGCGTCCTCCACCACTGTAGGATGTCTTCCGAACTTGCGGCCCTCGGTTTATTTAGATAATCCTCGAACTCATTGTTATTGAAGCGTTGAATACCAGATCCAGATGATGTAGAGGGGCATGCATACAATTTATTAAAATCTATTACGTCTTCGTCTTCATCATATTCACATACTTCATTGTCATGTCTTGGCAATCCTGGAGATCCAGGCACTGCGTGTAGGTTTTATATTCCTTGTGAAGTTCTTCAAATTTACGCAGGCTTTCAGATTTTAGTTGTTGTCCCCATAGTGTCATATCGAAAGTCTGAGATTTGTGCCTTGGATCTAAAATTAAGGTGGTACAACAGTAAATCCAGTTGGTCATCCTATAATGCTTAAGCATTTTATTTTGGGCGGCTTGGAAACCCAAAATGAGCCTCTCACCTACTTCGGTTCGATTAGGTTTGTCATCTAATTGTTTTATCATAGCTTCAATTTTATCAAGCAGAAGATTGAACGACACAATCACTAGCGGTAATGTTACATATTTTTCTTCACCAAGTTTCGTTGTTAGAAGTTTAAAGTTTATCAAAAACTTATATATTTATATATTTTTTCGAGTATTTTCCAATCAATTTCTGATATTACAAAATTACTCAAATCAGACACAGAAGTGCATAATATGTTAATGCTAGGTTTTAGTTTTAAACATAATCCAATCATATCATGTGTGGAATTCCATCTTGTTGGACAGTCCAGTATGAGACTCAGATTTGTTGGCACACCAGCTGTTTCACAAGCCGACTGGAACTTCCTCTTCAACATCTCACTTCTTTTTATTTTACTACAAATACTGCGTAATTTTGTAATAGCCGTACTTGAGTCAGAAATATTTGGCACATATTCTTCAACTTGCTCTTCTTCGTCTTCACACTGCTGTTCTTGTTCTTGACTGTCAGTTTCAATATTTAACGCTAAGTTATTCAATAAATCTTGTACGCCCAGGTTCAAGATGTGAGCAATGCATCGAAAATGTTGATTATCCGAATCAAAATGTGGCAGTAGTTTTCCAAGTTCATACATGAATTTGGTATTTGCAGTTGCGTTGTCGACTGTGATACCCTGAATTTTATCAGCTAAGGTATATTCCAATAGACATTTGTGGAAAATCCTTGCAATATCCATCCCTGTATGTCCACCACTCGATGGAATAAAATCCATCCAGGACTAGAGATCGATACTTCCATTCATTATCTATATAATGAATAGTGACCCCATAGTAACTTCTACCAGGAATTGACGTCCATCCATCAATAGTGAATGACATTTTACATGAGTATTTTTGTAGTCTACTCTTGACACGCGTATGCAGTACTTCAAACCGCTCTTGAACCATCCTTCGAACTGTCGATCTCTAAGGAAATACCAAATTTGGTATTTCCTTAGAGATCGACATCGAGATATCTTCGTCATCGAGAAACGAGAAGGGAAGATATTTCTTGGCAATCCAGTCAACTGTAACTGTCATAAAATCACTATGGCTTTCAGATACTGACTGAAACAAGATAACAAAACGTGTTAATACTTAATATAACATTTTACCAACACTACCTACTTACGAACCTACTAATTACATTGAATTTTTAACTATATTAAACAAACAAAAAATTGCCTTGACCGGTAATCAAACCCAGAACTTCAATAGGCAAAAAACATGTTAAGGTGACCGCCGAACTTGTAAAAACTTTTCTACCAATCTTATTATTTGCCCTACTAACTTAACTCAATAAATAAGTACGGACCTGAATTTTGGTGACAAGATTATTTTTACAAGTTTCTATTTAAAAAATATTGCCGCCAAATACACAAACAAAAAACAAGACTTGGATTAGTACCTATAAAAATAATTTAAATTCTAATTTAACACACAACATATCTCGCTTTTTAAAATTGTACCTTAGTAAGTGCATTTCGCAAAAATAATAAATTGGTTAGAAACTAGAGAAAGCTATTTTCTTACTAAAACTTGGATATTTACAGAGTTTTAATTTCCTCAGACTTTGTAGGTATAGCCTAGAGAAATCGTTTTAAGAATTCCAATGTAATCGGTTTGTTTACTTCTCATGAAAAAACGATTGACACTAACTATAAGTATGTAAATTATAAAAAATATTAAGGAGGTGTATATTATCTTACCTGTTCACTTCTTCCAGTGGTATTAAAAAAACTTGAAATATCTCTAATTGTTGTCGGTTTTCTTATAGGTATAAGTTTTTGCGATTCCTTTTCGTGACAAGACAGTAGATGCTTCCTTAAACCCGAACTGCCTTACAAATAAACGTAGAATAAAATGTTATACCTAGCATAAACTAAGAATAAGCAAAATGTCTACTAATAAATTCGGAATAACTTATACTAGGCATAACGTTGGGGTAACGGTTCTAACAACACTTAAGCCGACCCTTACCCTAGTATAAGTTCGGTATGTCCTCTAAATCTCATGCCTGGTGTGCTAAAGTTGGTTTCTCAAAGGTTTTACTTTTAAACAAAAATTGCTATAATTATTCTTACAATGATGTCCATAAGGTCAATTGAGGAAGTGGAACAAATTAATAATATAATAAATCAAATAGATGGCACGAGAAAAGTAAAAACATTTAAAAAGAGAGAAAATCCGTTTTCTTTATACAGTGATGAAGAGTTTCGTATAAAATATCGTTTTTCTAAAGACGGCGTTAGGTTTTTAAATGAATTGTTTGGGAGCTCTTTGACTATGAGCAAACGTGGGGGTGGTTTATCTTCTTCTCTCCAAATATTAATAGCTTTGAGATATTGGGGTCGTAACTAGGTGTGTACCTTGCTACTTACTTATTTCACCTTACAATTTAATATTTATACATACATATTAATTTTGTAGACCAACTACATATTTTTTCTACTCCACTTTCAGATACAAGATGATGCTGCAGATATTCATGGGCTGACCCAACAGAGTGTTACAACTGTATGCCGTCGAGTAGCAAGGGCAATATTAGATAAACGATTTAACTATATTAAAATGCCCAATAACTTAAATGAGCAGCTAATAATGATGCAAGAATTTGAAACTTTAGCTGGATTTAAAAATGTGGTTGGTGCTATAGACTGCACTCACATTCAGGGTTTCCCTAGTGCGGGGCTATGTTGAGTGTGTGCGTTATTGAGTGTGTGCGTTATTACATTAGAGTGCCCAAAGTACAGGGCCCTAGTGGTCAGTTTTACATACATCGTCAAGGGTATAGTTCCTTGAATGTTCAAGTAGGTTCCTTTTGACAAATAAAATATCTACCTACCTAGGTACATTCATTCTTTCTAAGTAACATATACGTAGAGATCTTTTAAAATGATAACTTTATTGCAGGTGGTTTGCAGTGCCAGTTTAAAGATCATGAACGTTGTTGCTCATTGGCGTGGTAGCACACACGACTCCCGTATTTTAAACGAAAGCCTTTTGAAAGAATCTTTCGAAAATGGACAGTATCATGGCAGATTACTGGGAGACTCTGGCTATGCCTGCACACCTTATTTGTTTACTCCTTTACTAAATCCGACAACGCGTAAAGAAGAATTGTACAATTATGCCCACATAAGAACTCGCAATAGTATAGAAAGATGTTTTCGCGTATGGAAAAATCGATTCAGATGTTTACTGACCGAGTTCAGAACAAATTTGGAAAACACCAAGATGTATATAGTGGCTTTGGCACTGTTGCATAATATAGCTATTGAGCTTAACGAACATTTTGCTGATAACGAACATGTTACTGAAAATGAACATCTGTCTCAACCACCTATTGCACCCTTACAACAGAACACATTACGTGGATCTGCAGTAAGAGCCATAATTATTGAAGAAAATTTCTAAGGTACAATAAAACAATTTCAAATACAAACTGTAATTAACTTTATTTTAGTGAATCTAAATGTTTTTGAAGAATTTCATTTTGAAGTTTTAAATTAGCCATGACCTGGTTGTGTACTTCGGCCATATTCTTCATTCTAAGCTCATGTTCTTTTTGCATCCTCTCATTTTCAATTGTTCGGAAGCTATGCATGTCTTCAAAAGAGGCGTCTGCAAAATTGAAAGAATGTGTTTCTTTTGTTGAAGATTAATAATGGTCATTTATAAAATTATCATATAATAAATAACAGAACATTTCTAATAAACACATACCCGTCTTTTCTTTGCAGATTGCTTTGGCGTTGTGTTTGGCCATTTTTTAGTTTTAATATCTGCACCCTCAGTGATATTTGTTTTAAGTTACTTTACCAAATGATAATATTAAAATTTATACTACATATTGTTTTTGCATTTATGAATAATTCTTTGTCCTGACACCATGCGGAAATAGCATTAAGAACTCCTTGTATAAGTGTTAATAATAATATGGTGTATTGTACCTACCAGTTCATCTGCATAACCCTGGGTGTCGATGTCCAGCTCTATGTCCACTAAATTATTTTCAATAGGTATGACCTGAAATAGCAACAGTGCCAGTAGCATTAATGCTTCAGCTACCCAAGTTATCAAATACTTATTTATCAATCACTGAAAATTACCTTTGCATTTGTATTCTCCATTTCTTCAATAATGATTTGTCTAGCAAAATCCTGAAAAAGTTAAACAATATTATGCTTCAGCTTCTTGGAGTCAGACTCAGTGTATGCGATAAAGAATACAAAATTTATTTGGAGAACTTTGAACTTATTTATTGTAAGATTTGGAAAATTTCTATATGCGCATACTGCCCTCGCTATTGGCGGAGACATGCAGAATAATGTATTTATTTATTTGATGTATAAAGTGTACCTTATCACCATCGCAGTCAAATTTATTAAAATTTACTTCAAACTCTTGAGGTACCATTGCTGCAACTTCTAAAATATCTTTTGAAGGTGATGGTGGTTTTGGCCCTCCTCCAATTTTCGCAGACTCACGCCGATACTGCGACAACTCTTTTTTTTAATTTAATTTCAGGCATTTCCATTGGTTTTTTAATTGATTTATATCTCTTTTAAGAGTATTTGCTACATTAAACCTAAATAACAACAAATCATTATTAATTTTCTAGGTTACAAGTCGTAAAAATACCACGTTACAATACCACCTACTTCTCTGTTATTTCTACCCAAGCTTTTAGTTTGTCTTCATTAGTGTTGGTGCTTAAATTTTTATTTTCTATTATAGGTAGATATGGGCGTATAACATCTCTCAGCAATTGCTAAAACAAACAAAACATGTTAATTAAAATAGGTAGGTACTAGCGATGGGCGTTGTGCTGCGCCGTAGTCGAAGTAGATAGTCGTCAAAAATAGATAGTTTTCTCAACGTTAAAAACGCATAACGGCTTCGTTAGGTTATTTGAAAAAGACAACGACACAAGATTAGTAGGCACTGTTCAGTATAGATAAAATATAAGGTTTATGCTCATAAACATACTTTTTCTTCTTTCTCCCAGTTTACACAGCGTTCCCTTTTCACCTTATCACACATATTCACATTCAATTAATTAACGCAAATTAAAATACAAACTCACGAAAAATTAAAAATGCTTTCGGATTCAGCCACAGACTCAGAAAAAGATACTATTTGTAACGTCAAAGTGACAGATAATCAGCAACTATGGTCAATATTTTTATTTTTTCTATTTTTTATGTATGAATCGCGACGTTACCGTGTTGTGCATATGTCATAACTAAGGAATAGATAAAACGATGTTATTCCAAGTTTATTTGTAAGAAAGTATTCACTCCTTATTCTTCGGATATTCTAGGCGTAACTATTCTCGGTATAACCTTAGAATGAAGACTAATTAGTTTTATTTTATTTGTAAGGCTGTAAGTGTTTCTGTTTTTCATTTTTATTTCAACTTTTTTCTTTTTAGAAATTGGGCACAACTTGCAGAGAGCCATTTCAGATTCAGGAATTATTTCGAAATACTTATCAAATTTGCTTTTAGAGCACCTAGATGCAACACAACTCTCACTACCCTGACTAGAATCTTCGTCCCTCATGTCAAAAATAATTACTTGTCCGACTCGTAACGAAGCTTAGTTGCAAATAAACAAACTTCATATAAAATTTTCTATTTATAGGCACATGCCGAAAAATTGGTAAAGAAAAGTTCGGCACCTTGGATAAAAATAATGATTCATTTGAAGATTAAAAACAGAAGACATTTTTTTGCAAGTTGTTGTACCTACGTAACAATTCAAGGCACTTTACCAAAATGTACATAAATCATTACGTGTACTGTATGCCTCTTTTGATTGAAAATATACACAAGTACAGTAAACAGTAGGTAGTAAACCTTTTACATGGAATTCTGTAGAAATTGGTATTCAATCAATGAAATAATTTGTTTATGTACAAAAGTTATTAAATAAAGTAAGTAGGTAGTAGTAATATCGCATAAAACACGTAGTTTTGTTTTGTGTTATGAACTGTATACTTAATATTTATACAGTTCAATATCAATAATACAGTTTATAAAGTTCAAATATAAGAGCACTATAATAATATTTATGATTATTATAACTACAGTAAATTATAATAATATAACCCATCGATCCTTCGCGATGACTAAACCAAGATGTTTGACTACAATCCGAGCGCCTCTGACTTAATTTTACTCTTTGGAATTTCGGCGTCTTTTTACAAAAACGCGGTCGCTTTGAGCGATGTCAAAGGTGCCGCGCGCGACACGTGCCGTACCGTCTTATAAGCGCGGCGCGGAGGGCGGGTCTTTGTCGGCAAATTAACAAATATTTAGCGCTCTTTCGCATAAAAGAGATAAAGCATCATTTTGACTGCAAACACTGTTTACTATATGTACTCGATTACACTTTCAATTTTATGACAATATTGGTAGGTTATAATTTTAGGCATACCTACAATTCGTAAGGACATAACACTCGTTTGACGTAATTGAGAGACCGTAAGACTCTCGCAGACTCGGTCTTGTTCTTGCACAAATCTTGCAGGGTCACTCTTGGTCTTGGTCTTGGTCTTGATTCAATTAAGTGGTCTTGTCTCGGTCTTGCAAAACTGCAAGACATAGACCAAGACTACTTTTGGGCAACACTAGATGGTACCACGAATCTGAAGGACCAAGTTCAGTCTGCTGAACAAATGGGAAAAAGAATCGCTAGTTCAGTCAACTGAACAAATAAGAAAAAATCTTATTAATTCGGTCAACTGAACTAGTGGGAATAGTGGCTTGATTTCACAAATTTCACATATCATGAACGAGTTTAACTAACTTTTTTGTCGCAAACCCATTTAAATAATACTAAAATCGATTTAAGATTTAAATTGATTTAAGTGTTCCTAGAAAATTGGATCTTGAGCAATGACACCTAATTGATGTAGTAAAATGTTGTGTTTGCATAGATCCACTTTTAACATTGTTTAATAATATCAACCGAGTACATGGAACTACTGGAAATAAACGGGTATATGACGTGGGTATACCATTTATGGGAAACTTCATGTAGATAGGTAATAGGAGTTAAAGTATGAAATTGCCGATTTGTACTGAAAATCTAAATTGTTTA